TGGGTTGCAAGTTGACCCATCTGTGTTTCTAAATTGCGGATGGAGGCTTGGTGGGTTGTCATAAACTGCGCCAAGATGTCTGCGAGATCTCCGCCTGAGGGTTGAGCTTGAGGCGAATTTTGGAATCCGGGCGCTGGTCGTGAATAATTAGGCGGTTGACCTTGAGGTGGTGCTTGCCTTGGTCCTTGCTGATTTCCTCCCCACCCAAAGTTGGGGTGATCCTTCCATCCGGGGTTGTACGTGTTGGAGTACGGGTTCCTCTGTTGTCGGTTGGTGTCATGCACATAACTCAGAGACTCCGTTTCTTCTACGCGCTGGTCGGGAACTTGGACTGCATGGACTTGCTGAGTTTGCAGAGCCGCTACTTGCTTCGATAGCTTCTCTAATTGGGCCGTGATTGCAGTGACCCCGTCTAACTCCAAAATTCCTCCCGTCTTGACTGCTCCGCTATTCGACCGGTCCGATGCCCTCATGTATTTGTTCCTAGCGATTCGTTCCAAGAGCTCGTATGCTTCGTCGTAGGTCAAACTCATGAACATACCTCCAGCTGCCGAATCAAGCACGGTTCTCGAGTTGTCTTGCAATCCATCGTAAAATATTTGCAATTGGCGCCACTCTTGAAGTCCGTGATTCGGGCACCTCCTTACTAGCTGCTTGAACCGCTCCCACGTCTCGAATAGTGCTTCACCGGCTTCTTGTATGAAATTTTGAATTTCTCTCCGGATTCGCTCAGTTTTTGTTGGAGAGTTGTATGTGTTCATGAAAAGTTGCGCTAGCTGGGCCCAAGACGAGATGGAGTGCGGTGCGCGAGTTTGCAACCATTCTCGGGCTGCTCCTTGTAGGGAGTGCTTGAACAGACGGAGTTGCAGTGCTTCGGGTGTGACTCCGTTCATCTTGTGCGAGTCACACGTCTCGAGGAAGTTGACCAAGTGAAGATGTGGATCTTCATGAGCCAATCCGCTGAACAGACCATTGTTTTGGAGCATCGTGGAGGAGTCCCGCTCGAATTTCGAATTATTGGGCTTCAATGGGGGGCTGCTGGATGCTGATGAAATCCATTTAGCGT